AAAAAAAAAAAAAAAAAAAAAATCTGCTCAAAAGGGTTTCAAAATAAGTTAACATAATGTTACAACTTAAACTTTTCCCCCTCTCAACAAAGATGAAATGGAGATACCTCTAGTCCATGCCTCGCATCGGGACCATCATATGTTGAGCTTGTGGCTAAAATCATACAAGTGGGAAAACATTAAGAATCATATCCGCCAAGTCACGATAAGAAAATTCGCACGCCACAAAATATAGTAACAGCAAAAAAAGATAAACGAGCTTCGAGTCATCTCACAACCATTTCAAAACGGACTTCAAGTTGATATGGAGAAAACATGGAAAGTCAAACTATTACGATGAAAAAGAGTGAGTCGTGCAGCACGCACGTGTCGATCCATTCTATACTACCAATTTATTTAAGAGTCATGCTATGCTACCAAAATTATTTTTAAAGATTGCGTGTTACCGCAAATACACATGGCAAACATACGCTCCTAATTACAATATTACCAAAGCCAACACATAATTCGGTAACCCAATTGGTAAACTAAAGTAGATTATTAACTCAACTTCTTAAAGGGATCAACAATCAGAGATACTGCATGGTACATTCGAAATTCCGAATCAAGTTAAACAACGAAATTTGCAAGGCGGTTTTTTTTAGCAGCAAGAGAGAAAGTGACCTTTGATGCCCCTAAAGCTAATATATCTTATTCCAACTCTAAACAATATATTGGTACACATATAATATAATTCTGCAACATAACAAACATCTTGGTATGTAGACTATATGTGCATGAGAATTTAGTTGAAAACAGAGAACGTATGCTGATCGCTTGAATGGAAATAATATGACATTCAACAGGTTTTCTATAAAAGCTTTGTTGTCTTAAAAATCATTGAAAGAAAAATACACATATTGGGTAGCTCAGTTAAAAAAAAAAAAAAAAAAACATTCTCTCATTTAATTATGTGTGCTAAATGCATGTTGGCAGACACTAAGAAAGAATCCCGACAATTATAACATTAGATTAACAGAATTTGTATGAAAATACCCATTACAAACAATGGATCTCACGTACAGCAATGGGAAAAACAGAGTGATAGCGAACATGATGTGCACCATGCAGGAAATAATGAGTTAACAAAAACATATATTGTGATTTTACAAATAACTGAACAAATATGTTGGCAAACGGAAAAAAACATACATCGTGATTTACTGATTTTACAAATAATGAATAAATATGTTGGCAGACGGAGAAAAGTTCATGTAAGAAAGTCACATTTGTAGGTTACCTGTGAGCTAGGATTAGGACAATCCTTCCTGGAAGATCCATCTGCAGCCTTGGCAGATCCCTTGGTGTCACCCTGTTGAGAAATGTGACTAATCATGTTCATGTTTCAAGTTGAAATGAAAACACTGACATCGAAAAGCTGTTGTAAAAGCAAATTCACTCACCTCCATCTACCAGACCATGAGCAGTCAGATTAAACACGAAACAAAGGACAAAAAAACAACATACAAAAGCTCCGTCAGTTGCAAAATAAAAATTGTTCGAAAAATGCAATCAAGAAAAACCCACAGACCACGAGGATAATTACCTCTCTGTACCTAGTGAGGTACGTCTTGAGCGGATCAATGTAGTCCTCAAAACCTAGTGTCGCCATTGCCCATAGCAAATCATCACCATTGATAGTCTTTCTCTTCTCTCTCTGGCACTTATCACTTGCCCTATGCGTTCAGTCACCCAAAAAAAACCCCTTATGTTCACAGCAGCGAACGAAATTACGTACACACAAATCTACATTTCAACACAGACCTCCCGAAATAGATAAGCATCACGACACAGAACGTATCGTGCAAACACTGGACAACCATACACAGAGTTAAACTAACCATTCATTTAAAACGTCATGTACGAGACAGAAAAGAGTATGATCGAACAGGAATTCAATCAAACACACACGCACACACACTACACATAGCTCCAGAACAAAACACACCAAAAAATTATCTCCAAATGCTCATCCACTGGCACCCCAAATCCCCAATCAGTCCACCACAATTTCACACCAACACAACAAAACCAGGAAACACCCGAGGACCAAAAAAGAAAAAAGAGGAGTTAAAAACACCATACTCGCTAGTGATGAAGCTAATAAACTCCGACACGCATTCCTGAACGGTCTCCTTGGCATCCTTGGCGATCTTCCCGTTGGCCGGGACCCCCTTCTTCATGATCCGGCTGATATTCGCGATCGGCAGTAACCTGTCTTGCTCGCGGACGCCGGATCGCGGACTCTGGTCGCCGCCGCTCTCGTTGCTGCCGCCTGCGGGGCTCCCCGGCGCTCCCTGACCTTCCGCCATCGAGATTCGAAACAAAACCCTAACACTTTTCAAATCCAAAAACCAGATTCACGAGAGGCCCAAGCTAGCTAGAATCGACATACATAAACATATCGAGAATCGAGAGATAAAATACCTGTGGAGATTTATTTGTATTTTTTGGCGCGAGCAGTTAATCGGAGGGTGGAGAAATTGTGGAGGAGACGAGACGACGACTGAGATTGAGAGATTCGAAAGAAAGAAGAATTTGGGGAATTTTTTTAGGTTTCATCGGCACCGTTGGTTTCTTATCGGGTACGTTTCTAATCGTGATGACATCGACGGACTATTAGGGTGATTGGATATGAATTCAACTAGTAAAAAATTAGTTTTTTTAATTATAGTTAAGTTTAAAAAAAAAAGTGGTATGGTTAGTTGTTAGTGAGTATATTAAAAATTTAAAATAATATTTGAAATAACATAATTAAAGTTGGTTTGATGTAAAAGTAAGAGAAAATGATTGGAAGTAATTGAGTGGATGAGTAGTGAATAAAAGTTGATGTGATGTATAAAAATGATTGGTTGATATTATTTAATTATATTTGATAATATTGGAGATAGTGTGGTTGAGTTAAATTTGAGTTTTAATTGAAATTATTCATGTAATGTATATACAATCACCCCCTTAATTTCAAATTATCAGTGTTTTTAATTTCGTATTAATCAGTTTTTTTTTTTCTCAAAATGATAGATAATATTATAAATCAAAAAGTACAAATATGCGAATATAGAGCAACCAACAGTTGAAAAAGTGAGAGGACAGGTCAGGAGACCACCTAGAATCTCGGCTAGCAACGGACAGGTCAGGAGACCGCCTAGAATGTCGGCTAGCAATGCTATAATAAAAACTCACAACAAAACTAACCAACAACTCAAACAACTGAAGGACCCCAACATGATAATACCCGAGTGCCGGATCCCAGCAGGATAATAAGTTTGACACTCGGGCTCACAGGGGCCAACGATCCAAACCAAAAACACAAGACACGCACAACACAACTACGAAAACAGAAAATAAGAACACAAATAATCAAAATAAAGCTAACAGCCCTTCCCAGCGACCGAGCAAGCCCGAACCAGCAGTGAACGATCGACACAGGACAAATCCAGGCCAAGAACCTGCTACCGAAACTGCAATTAAGCCTATACAATAGCAGAATCCTAACCTCGAAACAGTCCCGGAATCGACTCATCGAAACCGAGAGTGCCATAGTCCGTCCCACAACGATTCCGCCCAAACTCTTCTAACACCACTAGACGAGGCCGATAGAACCTCCCCCGCCGCCTAACACTACTAGTCAAACGGGGGATTGTGCGAGAGAATACGACCCTCACCCAGACCACCGCGACTAAAACGCTGCAGCCACCGGAGTCCCAACCACCCAAAGACCCGCACACCGTCCGACTTCTCCACATTCCCCCTGACCAGAGATTCGATCTCGTCATAAAGACAGAGCTCCGCCGACGCCAATCGCGAACAAGGGAGAAAAGAGGGACTTACCACCATTAATCAGTTATTCCTCAATGAAATTAGAGATTTTGAATATCTTTTGATTTGAAAATATTAATTTAGTAATTACATGAGTAGATAGATTATTTTAATATTATTTATATTTACATATTACAAAATAAATAATTCTATCACATTTTTTTATAGTTTATTAATCTAAGTTGCTAATTGACTCGATCGATTGTTCAAAAGCATTATTTTTTATGAGTTACTCATTATCAACTATTAAATATAAACAGGATTCAACATCTGAAGTTATCTGCCATATAATTCAATGAATTAATCAAAATTTATTAATCATTTAAATTGCTAGCAAGGTTATTTAGTTATATGATTTACCATTTAATTTATTAGCTAAATAGTAGTCGATCATGTGTACATGCATGGATACAAATAAAATGTTATAAGTTATAAGTTAGATAATGAGTATACCACATTTCTAAAATTTTTACTTGTAAAACAGAACTGTATAAATATAAGTTTTATAAGTTACATATGAATCACTGTATTTATGACATAAATTGTTATAATTTTTATAATTGAGGTCGAGACCAACTATAAAAATTATTATTGTTGTTTATCGTTGTTGTTGATACTATTATTGTTGTTGTTGTTGTTATTTAAGGGTTTTTAGTTATGCCATTAAAATTAATTAGCTAATCTTAAAGAAAAACCAGATAATTATTTGAAAATGATAATATTAATATCTATACATATCTAATCAAACTCTTAATGCTTTTCTTCCATTTTTCATTATTTTTGCATTATCTATGTAATTATATTTTTTTTTATTATATTATAACTACTTCTAAAAAATCATAAAGCATTAAATAATATTATATTCTACAATATTTTTTCTAAACTATTTATTTAAATTATTTTTATGATATAACCAACCCCTTTAAAACTTCATACACAAATACACAATTGCTATAATAATAACTTCAATATCGTTTTATCTAATCAATTTGTCATAGCCAACATTGCAACAAATATGTATTTCAATCAATATAAAAACTAATATGTGAGTTAATAATTTATATTTAAATCATTTGCTCTTTACTAACGATAATATTTATAAAATGCGATATATCATAAATTTTAAATGAGAGTAATGAAGAGTAATGAAGTAACTCGAGAGTAATTACGAATTTGAGATTCAAAATGAGAGTAATGAAGTAACTCGAGTTTAAGGAGAGGAATTAATCTAACCTCTTCTGGTTTTAAATATTACATAAATACTTATATAACATAAATTTTATTTATATTTGTAGGAATATTAGTATTTTCATATTAAAAGTATAGTTACACTTAAATAAATTGATATAGATATAGTGATTAGTTTTTATTGAATGTGGTTTACTAAAATAACATAAAATATTGAACTAATATTTGTTGGGGTCCAATCCCAAAGGGAAAGCACCCCTCCAAAAATGGGCGTATGCCGCTTAAATGCGGCAAGCACACGGTATTCTTTAGTAAAAGGCGAAAGAATAGTTCGCTCTGTGCTTACCGCGCGGCTGCGTGACTTACTACAACATTTGGAGGACGCTTTTATAGCAAAACACTGTCTCTATGCTGCTTTTAAGAAACGATGTGGGACAACAATTGTTTCAAATAAAGTCCCATCCCATCAACTATCAAAACCTATTGGGCCAACTTCAACTTGTCATAAATCACAACCATATGATTACGTTTACTGGACCGGCCCAATTTATATATCTTAGGCTTTTTAGCCCATTTTGTGTTGCTCAGTGGTGGCATATTGAGGACTTTAGAGCATGTTTGAATATGAAAATTTTTTGTTTTGTTGGATTTTTTGGCTTGGTTTGGTTAATTTTGAAAAATGTAGTATGGTTAATTGTTAGTGGATATATTAAAATAATATTTAAAATAAAATAATTAAAATTTGATGTGATTGTTAGTTAAAATAATGTGAGTGGATGAATAGTGAACTAAAGTTGATGTGATGTGTATAAATGATTGATTGATATTATTTTATTACTAGTGTTAAACCCGTGCGATGCACGGGATAATATGGTTCAATAACAATTATTTTAGCAAGTTAGTTAATACAAAATCCATTATAAATAGATTGATAGTATGACCGGTGAAAGTGGTATTCACAAACTAATATTTTTGTACCAAGAGCACTGCATATAGTAATAGAGTTTTTCATTTATTGGAACATAATAAACCGACGTGTGTGTTACTAATAGTTATTGACTTTTTTTATACTTATCAGACATCAGTTAGAAAATCACAAGTGGTAATTGATGCCACGTGAATTTGAAAGGTAATTGCAGATAAAAAAGAGATAACATATCACATATAGTTCAAAAAAGACAACTGAAAAGGGTGTAAAACAATAAGTGTGATCAGAAAATTTCACATCGTCAATTTTAATGCACAAAGTGCGTCCGTTGAAGCAAAAATGATACTTAGCAGTTGTTGTTTTATAGTCGCCCTCTTGCCACTCTTCCAAATGGTAATTTTTTATAGCATAAATTTTTCCTTCCAAGAGATTCTTCTTGATATCTCTATCATTTTGTTTTATAGTTCCTTGAATCCGATCTCCCTACGAACACATAAGCAAGATACAGAGAGTTATCCAAAAGTATTTAAATTTTATATGTAACATATCACATAAAAAATAGCAATTTTGTGAAACTTTCTGTACCATGAACAATCTTTCGTATAGATTCTTCTATATGAACAATAGCAATATTTAAATGACAATCTTTCATTTGATAACAATAGCAATATTTAAACAGCAATTTTGTAAAACTTTATGTACCATAAAAAATAGCAATATTTAAATGACAATTTTATTGAAACTAAGGTGCGTGTATAAAAGATGAACCCAATAATATCAAATAAAATTTTTGTACGGCACACTATCAACATATCAAATAAAACAAAAAAAAAAAAAGAAAATTGTTCATATTGGCAAATTTAATATCAATAGCATATATGAGGGGCGTGTATATGAAATTTTCGGTACCACACACCACAAACAACGAAAAAAAAAATTGCATTTTGCGGTCTTTAATATCAATAGCACCTTAGATAGTTAGAATAATAAAATTGGACAATAAATATCAATAACACTTCAGATAGCTAGACTAATAATAATGGGCAATAAACGCACCTTTGAATCATGAAAGATGCACTCAATAAAGTGAATCACATTTCCTCCATGGGTTGTGGCAATGCGTCCGACAATTTTTTGATCGTCACAAAAAGGATAGGCATTTTTTTGAAGCTTTATTCGTTGAGTACGTATGAAATATATTTTTCTGCGATCATAGTGTAAATTTTATTCAAGATTTATATAATCACATCACAGTAAATATGGTAATATGTATATTAATTAATAAGTAAATTATAATTTAAGTAAAGATGGCCATAAAATCTTTGATAATCTCAAAATATTATTGAAACTTGTTGTAGATCGTTTTCTGACATGAGCTATAAAGATGAGATGAGATCTAGATTCCCCTATATCATTTTATACTATATACTTGGAAATAAAACATCTACGCAATATAATTCATTTTATGAAAGATTTTATTGTGTAATATATTAGAATAGAATCCCAATATCACTCAGTGAATCTAACATACATTTTGTTGATTGGTTTAACTTTATTATGCCAAACTATGATTTCATATAATCTTTGTTTAATTAATCAAAATTTTCCTAAATTTGTCATGAAAAAACGTAAAATATCTTTACTTCCCATATGAACATTAAGTATTCTCAATAAATCATTTACAATCTTTACCTACAATTAATATTCCCAATTTTAGCCGAAAAAGTTTGAGCGGGAAAACTTCATCCATTTTTGGCAAAATGGTTTCATCCATTATATAGATATAGATATAGATATAGATATAGATATAGATATTGATAATATTGATGATAGTGAAGTTAAGTTAAAGTTGAGTTAAAAAAATAGTTGAATTAAAATGTTGAAATTTTTTGTGAGGATTCTTATGTACAAACATGAGCCCAGACAAAATGAAAAGAGTCCACCGTGTACTTCGGTGTGGTTCGATTTATTTTTTTAGAGTGAATAATTTTTACGGCTCGATTATTATTTTTGGCAAGTCTGATTTTTTATTTTTCGGGCTCGATTATTATTTTTGGCAAGTCTGATTATTTATTTTTCGGGTACGGTGCGGCTTCATAACGAACCACGCCAAATATAACATAAATGTATAGAAAATTTGAGGTAAACCAGAAAATTAATCTGGATCGTGGTTTTTGGTTTGATTCAAGTGTTTTAGTGTAGATTTAGTTTTTTTTTTTGGTTTGACTTTTTTATATTATAGTGCAGTTTGATTAGTTATTTATTTATTTATTTATTTATTGCCAAACTTTATTGTTGTTCACCCCAAAATGAAAAAAAAAAAAAATAAAAATAAAATGATAGTTAACACCCCAAGAAGCACTTCATTTCATAAATTAATTCCACTAGTTATATATTATCCACCAAATATCTAATTCACCTAAAACATCGCAAGTAGTAAAAACTCCTTGCAGAAACTGACACACCACAGTTCATAAAAAACATTACAAAACACATTCATTCTGCATTTCTAAAGAAACATTCATCAGCCATCACCCAATCAATCAATCCTCACTGTCCGAACTCCCCTCGTCGCTACTGTAATCGCTACTATCATCCTCGATATCAAGCTGCACGTGCCGCACTTGTATGGGCTCGGGCCCCCTCCCAATGGGCCCAACTGGTGGCACAACGGGCCTCGGCTGCCTCACTGCCTCCTCCTCCAACGGGCCTCGGCCCACAGGAGGAAGCAAATCCAGCGGAGGCAACGGAACCGGGTCGCCCGGTTTCCACCCGGGCGGCGGCGGCACCATCGGCAGGTCGCTTGGCAGCTCCACCGGCATCCCAGGCCTCCACCCAGATGGTATCACGATATTGGGTATCGGGATCGCGCCACTCTCCTGCTCCTCGACCATCGGCTCGATTATCATCCTCTCATCGTCTGCCTTCGGCAGCCCAACATCGAGGCCCGCGAAACTGTACAGTTGGGACGCACGCATCTGCTCCTCCTGCGGAGCAGGAGGCAGCGCCCCGCGGAGCGGGCCCTGGCCCGACCCAAACTCGGGAGGGGCGAAAGTGGTATAACTTATCTTGTGCGCGTACGAAAGTATTTCTGAGAGCTTGAGCGTTGTTTCCATCGTGGTCGAGCTCGATTTCCGGTATTCGGAGGAGTAGTCGTCGACGAGCGTGTCGAGAGCGTGCTCCGCGTTTTTGAGCTTGGTGGCGAAATCGAGGAGGGAAGAGTCGAGGGAGTTGATCTCCCGGGAGAGTTTGTTTTTAGCGTCTTGGAGGTCGAGTATCTCTTGGAGTTCGGCTACGGATTCGAAGAGTTGGGTTTGGAGAGAGGTGAATTGGGAGAGAATTTCTTTGGCCGAGTCGGGTTGGGAGAGAGATGATGAGGAGGATGAGGAGGAGAGGAAAGAAGGGAGAGAGCCGCGGAAAGAGGAGAGCCAATGAGAGCGGTTGGGGGAGACTTGGAAGAGTCGAGAGGCAAGGGAAGCCATTTGAAGGAGGAGAGATTGGGCACGTGGGAGAGGAGGGAGAAGAGAGAGGAGAGAGGATGGTTGAGGAGTTTGGGTCGGGAGTTTGGGGTTTTGGAGGGAAGGAGAGTTGGGGGTGGGGAGGCCGAGTCGGGCTGGGGACTGGACGATTTGGTGGGGTATGTTTTGTAGCAT